TTGTCAAATTATTGTCAAATGCCGTATTCCACATGTACAAAGCCCCAGTGTCTTCATTGCTTTAGTGTCTCAGAGACATTTTTTGAGATACAGGGAGTGAAAGTGGAATGGGCTGACAGATGGGTTTATATAAATTGTACGCAATAGCATATGATTTTCAACGTTGTCTACATACGGATACGTTTGATCGTATGCCTGTCTTGACAGGCTTATTTTTCCAAACTCCTCTTTTATTTCCGGTCATAAAACATTGGTAACCCTAACAATACATTGCTGAACGAATTCTCAGTGTGAAAACGGCTTCGATTGTTTTGCGAATATTTCCGCCACAAAGTAGCTCGCTTTTATGTGTGTATTATGGATTTTATGTATGTACGTAGCAACTACGTCAGCTTTATATATCGATATCTCCTCCCAGTTGGTTTCGATTCAAAATGGCACTCATGGCTCGTTTGAAAGGGCTGGCAGAGCGCATTTCAGGAAATAAACGACTCGTTTGTTCACATCTTTTCATACTAAATCGCTCGAATAATAGTTATTTTATTTAATTCTGAAAAGTACAGCGCAGGCCACTCGAAATGCTTCCGCGGGCCATGGGTTGGACGACCGTGGTCTAACGTTTCAGCCTGCCTATTCAAAACAACAAAGACTCTAAAGACAATCTATAACAACATCTTAAGATACACTGCCTCATATCTGTACGTATTGACGATATTCCATTTCTAATACTGTAATGAATAAATTGGAGACATTTATGAAATGAAATAATTGACCTATTATACCGGGAAATTTGCTAAATTTCTGTCGATGATGATATTTTCTATTATGTTTTTTGTTAATCCCTTTTAAATAGTCTGTATTTAAATATTGAAGTGTCTCAAGTAAGGTTATTACTTTTACGATTTTGGTTTTTCTCCGACCTTCCCCTGACCCGTTGTGATGTCGCAATATTTAGGAAGAATTTGCGCCGCTCCGACTGAAGAGACAGTTACATAATTTAAATGCGTTAAAAACTAACACAATTCGCCAGTGGATGACATTATATCGTTTTAAAATAAGCTGATGAGCACTACCAAGTTACTTAAATTTGAGAGTCATTTGTTTGTCATGTTTCAATACTCCGCCGAGCTTCTCGATCGAGCCAATCGATCTTCCGATTCGTATTTGATTGTTAGGGAGCCTGACAAGCAGATATCATGGTCATTTCGCAAGAATCGTGTCTGTACATTGCAGCCAAAGATGATATTTTACTGCTGAAAGTATTGCAGTATTCCCTACTGGATTGTATTCCCAACTGGGAACGGTAATTTGTTTATATTATTGTCAAAAGAGTTGACGTCACAAAATGGTAATTCTTTCGAAGCTACGCTTCCTATAGTTTTCCACAGATGGTTTAAAATCCCTATTTTTTCGTTTTGGTCACGTCGTTTTCAATCGTTATCGGATATCCATCTAAGCATTTCCACGTAAAGCATTGGTTCGTATAGGAAGGTAAATATTTAAATTAAACATGAGTTTCACTGATAACAAGAAACGGTATTTTATGTTTTTTAAAGACGCTGTTGCAATTGTTGTATGTTCCGAGTAAAGCTTGTAAAAAGCAAAGGTTATAAAGAAAAGCTTGTGTGGACATATCAATTATATGTATTTTGCATCACGATTCCCATATCAATAAACGGCTGTTACATGTGATAACTCGTTTGGACAAACTATACTAAACGTCATTTTTTTCTTTGTCAAATTATTGTCAAATGCCGTATGCCACGTGTATAAAGCCCCAGTATCTTCATTGCTTTAGTGTCTCAGAGACATTTTTTGAGATACAGGAAGTGAAAGTGAACTGGGCTGACAGATGGGTTTATATAAATTGTACGCAATAGCATATGATTTTCAACGTTGTCTACATAAAAATACGTTTTATCGTATGGGTAATACCGAATCAAAAATAAGACACAAATCGTTTAGATTTCTCGTTTCTTGGAAACGGACAAATTGACCACGGAACGGATACGATGCACTCCTTTATCGAATGAAATATTCGTTAAGGTTTATTTGAAATTTTGCACGCGAGGTTATTGGCAGCGGCTAACAACAGGCGCCCTCAATTATTTTTTTTTTTTTATATATTATTGTCAGAAGAGTTGACGTGACAAAATGATAATTCTTTCAAAGCTACGCTTTCTATAGTTTCCCGCAGATTGTCCCTATTTTTTCGTTTTGGTCACGCCGTTTTCAATCGTTATCGGATATCTATCCAAGCATTTCCACGTAAAGCATTGATTTGTAGGAAGGTAAATATTTGATTGAACATGAATTTCAATGATCGCAAAAAAACGTTTTTTTTATTATTTGCAAAGACGCTGTTTTAATTGTTGATGTTCCGAGTAAAGCTTGTAAAACGGAAAGGCTATAAAGAAAAACCTGTGTGAACAGATATACGTTATGACTAAGGAGCGTATGTCTCATTTTAATTAACGTATTTTCTGGCGACCCGGTCAATAAGACGAGGCCTGTTTTTAAGCCTGAAAAAAAGGTTTTTTAATATAACCTGCCAATAAGTCGGGGTAGTAAAATCGCATTAACATCGGAATCTCAAATTACCATGCAATGCGTTTTGAACGGTCGCCGCGTTTGCGTATTGGTTGAAATAGCCTATAATGACGTTTTCTTGTAGCGTAATATTCAATCCATAATAACTATGTGAATTTAAACTGTCCTCAAATTTTAATCTAATTGTTTCAACTCGCGATTGCGTCCACCATAAAACAACATTACTTAATACCATGGTTCTCAAAGTGGGCGTCGCGACGCACAAGTGCGTCATTTCAATTTTGCTAGGGCCTCGCGGAAATTTCCCTTTTTTTTGCGGAATTGTACCTGTTTTGAGGTGCGTCGAAAAATGCTAAATATTAAATTGCACTGCAGAAGTGTACAAGCGAAATAATTATACTGAACAAGAAATTCTCGAAAGAAGATTCGCAAGTAATTTTTGGATGAAGATTATCCTTCATTGGTTAAAAAAGCGCTTCGCACTCTTATCCTCTTTGCGACTTCGTATTTGGGTGAAGCAGGCTATTTTTACTATGGCCGCAATTAAGACGAAATATCGATCTAGTGTAAAATGTTGAAAGAAAAATGCATGCGGATCTTTCACAATTCACCCAAGATTCAATGGCATATAAAAGAAGGAAATACACTCATACCATACCCTAAATTGAATGCGATTTCAATGACTTTCGTTACGTTTTGTCATTGCCTAAGTGGTCTTTTATTAAATTGTATAAGTCGTTTTTTACGGGGAGTCGCAACTTGAGCATGTTTTGTGGAAGGGCGTCGCAATACAAATAAGTTTGAGAACCACTGACTTAATACATAATAAGGCGATACCAAAAAAATGAAAATTATCATACTCGCCTAATAAGACGACCCCCCTCCAAAATCAGGCCAAAATTTGGGTCTAGAAAAGCGACTTATTCGCCGGGAAATACGGTATATATTTTTTACGTCTCGATTTCCATGTGGTCCCTCGTTTGGAAAAACCATAATAAAGGTCCTTTTTTCCTTTGTCAAATTATTGTCAAATGCTGTATGCCATATGTACAGAGCCCCAGTGTCTTCATTGCTTTAGTGTCTCATACTTGAAACATACAGAGACTTGAAAGGTACAAGTACATAAGATTGTAGCGTCGCTATGTCTTCCGATGCGGACGAGACAATTGATAGCGACTGGGCCAGAGGCATATCATAGATATATATGAGTATAAACGCCAAAGTTAAACCAGAGATTTTCATCAGTCGATTACTTGTAGTGTGAGCCTTCGTAATTGTAATAGAAAAATATTTAATTACTCTTTACCCTCGCCGTTCCGTACTGTGGTTCCCGCTTTTAATTCAAAAGAATGTGGTATCAAGTAGATTCATACCTTGCCTAAACGATATATACACAAAGTAATATTATTCCTTAGGCAAGAGCAATACGGTTAAAGTTTTTGACCACAATGAACGTTCATATTATACCACATTTTAAGTCTATGTTTTTCGTGTTAAAAAGATAACATTCGGCTCTGGATAATAGGAATGTAAATATATGCATGAGTTTTAAATAAGTAATAAAAACATTTACCGCCCTCAACTGAAGAACAAAATTGCAGGCACTCCTGTGCTCATGATTTACTATCTAATATTTGGCATTTCATCATGTGCTAAATTACGAACTGTCGTCCGGTCACCACGCCCGGTTTTTTGATTTCGAATACAGGGCAGGGACTTGAAAATTTGTTGCGGAAGTCCATTTTCTCGCCAACTGTCAAACCGCACTGCGTGGCGTGTGATTTTTAAGGATCTTTATTTCATGGTTTTGAAGAGAAAATTGCGTGAAAGCGGGCAATTTATACACGGAAAACCGAAGAATAATGAGGATATCGACCTATATGGCTAAGTATAGCCTATACTCAATTTCCTACATCAAGAGCAAATAGGGATTCCATATTTAATTGGTAGCAAGTTCTATCCGAACTGCAAACACATTTCGTATTCATATTCAAGATAGTACTTTGCTCACTGTTACGGTATTCTGGTTTACCTTCTGCACAAGATAAAATAAATATAGGCATGTATACCTTCAAATAACAAGGTATATCGTACGGAAAACGTGCAATGACTCACCACCTCCACGGACAAAACTATGTTTCAGTTGCATGGAAGCCCATTGTTCATCAGCAGGCTATCTAGTAACTAGCGAGGCTTTGTAAATTCTGATGGGGACTTATGGGGAAAATATATGGCGGTACTTTTTTAGGTTAGCGAAGGCGTTACTCTGATTAACACAAATCAGATGTGAATAGATTCCACTATATTTTTCGGATCGGTGTCTTGTAGTCAAAACACAATCATGCATATTAATACGCGTAGATCTTTCAGATAACCTATTTATCTACTCCAGTAAGTAAAATGAAGCGAGTTTTGTAATCGAACACAAAAGGTGTAAAACGTGCATATACGTACACAATATTTCAGTTTTTATATTACAGTATTCCAAGCGATTGAAATTTGATAATAATAAGATAATCAAAATGTTTCGCACTCGATGTTTGGTGTTGATTATTTTCGTGATGACTGGAGAGCATCGTAGTCACGGTGAAGTAGCAAAGCACCAAGAAGATGAAGTCCGCTTAGGTGGGTGATATATTTATTCGGAGATTTCGAATCAAATTTGTCAATCTGTAAAGTGATTGTTGAAATATGGACTGTTGCAATACAGCTTTAGGAATATCAAATGATATAGATAAATGAAGTTAGGAGTGAAGAATTTGATATATATTGCATCGTGAAACAATATAAAAACTCCAAACCAATTTACTTAAACAATGTACTTTATATCAAAAATACTCATGTCCGTGTTCAATTTTGCCACGGAAGTTGTATGCCACGACTTGAACATGGTGCGATCCATACCGCGTTTTTCTGTCGAATAGGAGGGCAGCTTTGGAAGTTTGAACACTGAGTCGTCCTACTTTAAAACCTTCCATCACCTCGAATATTTGCGCGATAGTTCGCCTTATAGTTAGATCCGGGATAATTTTTGAAGTTACGAATTCTGACTTCATTTTTGCTATTATCAGAATATTGGTACTTTGTAAATCTTTGTAATTTTTCAGCAATACAATCCACCGATGAATCGTCAATGCCAGGTGAATACAACACCAATGAAAAGAACACATTGAAATCTAGTGACATCAATGTGAATGCAGAATCGCTGGCTGGACGTACGTTGAATAAATTTTGTAAAATTCAATTGCGAATGATTGACTTTCCAAATAAAACATATAGCGTTTATTCGTACATATACATCATACAATTATGCTTTTGCTTAGACTAAAGCGAAATCAGTAAACACAGTTATCGATGCAGCGCTTATATATGAAATGATTATGTGTTCTCTTTTATTATTAGTTCTATTTATCTATTGAATATAATTAAACATTTGACATTTTCCATTCGAATCATTTGAATATAACAAAGCAATCCAATTGAATTGAATTGCTTTTTAGATTCTGCGAAAGAATTGCCTGCAGTCGGTCGAAGCTCAATTATTGGAACAGCATCAGCTGCCAATGGTAAGTTTTAATTTTATTTTAGTACGATTTTGTCAGGTTACGAGAAATCGATGGATTTCTCTGAACTAATGTACCACGAACATAAAAAAAAATATTCATCTGAAGTTTTATTGAGTGTTCCAATGCTTATGTCATAAATATGTCATATGTCATGCCAGGGGTCGGCAACCTTTTGTTGCTCGCGGGCCAAAATAATGGTTGCAAGTCATTAACGCGGCGCACATATTTTTAAAAAGTTAAAAACCGAACGGATGATACTTTTTATAATAAAAATCAAGCAGTGATACATCTCTCGAACAGAATATGGATTTATTTCCTCATTGCATTGCATCTCAAAAATGCCATTTGAATATTTTCGGTGTCATTAAACCTTTTGCACTTAGCATCAGCTTTTCTGCGTTTTGTTGCCATTTGTCCAATTATAATTAAATTATAGGCTCTTCAAACGAGTTGTGTATTTTATACTTGTTAGATTAAATTATAGTTTAGTCTACACGTGTCTCAGAATATATTCTGTTACGTAAAAACATTAAATCGTCAAAACAGCTGTTTTGTTACTATAATTTAGTGAAGCATCGCGGGCCGGATTATATTACTCTGCGGGCAGGATCCGGCTCGCGGGCCGTAGGTTGCCGACCCCTGTCATAAACGGACGGAATGTGACACACGATTATTTTTGCTGCATTTCGTCATTCATACTGCAGATTTTCTAAACAAATACATGCTTACATTAAGTTACATGCGGACAGCCCACAATGAAGAGTAACATTAGTGCACTAGTGGATGGACAGCCAATCAAAACTGTGATTGAGAAATGGCCATGGCAGGCATCAATTTGGAGATTTTACAGCAGAGATGGATCATGGCGGCATTGGTGTACAGGGGCATTGATAGGGAAGCAATGGGTATTGACTGTGGCCCAGTGCTATGATGAGTACGTTTACAACCTTTAAATTGTTTTGATTTTTTAATTCATATTTAGCCGCAGGTAAACCCCTTCTCCTCACATTCACTTGAAATTTAAAGACCGACAGCCCGTATTTGGGGATAATTATTAGTATATGTCTAGTACATTATTATGTTGATATTTTATGCATGCAGTGGTATACGGACGGGCAGTGTTCTTTGTACTAAAATATATTCATGCGTCCAACATTATGGGTACAAATCTCCTGATTATTTGAGACAATTATAGCATTGTCAAAATATCTATTTCGATTTGTACGTCAGTATAGAAAATCTGGTTGTTTTTAGACAATTATCATCAGGGACGCTGGTGTCTTTTGGCAAAACGAATTTACTCGAGGCAAACAACGGGTTGATTGCTGCTGGAACGGTGCTTTGCCATTCAGGTGAGCCATATAACTATTTGAGTTGGACAGAAATGATATTATAAATGGTAAATGCATATATATACAAAATATTGCTTATGATTTTGGGCACAGGTAATATTTGGGCTGATTTCGTTTTTAATACTGGCAAAGTAAAGAGAGAAAGCAAAAACGGTGATGGTAATAGTCATCCAATGTTTCATATTCCGAACATTTAAAACAAATGGAATCAATTATTAGATAGCATTTATGATGATTTAATTTAAAATTTTGCAGTCAATCGCATCTTTCAATTGCAGGTTACAATAAAGCAACTCGTGAAAATGATATTTGCCTTATTAAATTGGCAAAAGAGGTCACCTACAGTGAAAGTATAATGCCAGCATGCCTTCCAAATCAATCTGATCGCTCAATTGTCGGAGAAGACTGCGTGATTACGGGTTGGAACAGAATCACTAGTAAGTTTATTTCTATATTACCGTTAATTTATCTGGTCATGGTATAAAAATAGAGTCATGTGTATTTTACTATAACCACGGGCAATGCTTTGAAAGATAATATCTGACTTCCATGTTCGAACGCGTCAACTTAATTTTAATAATTAGTGTTGGGAATAGGAAGGTCACATCACAACACACAGGACACGCTCAAAGCATTTTAATTAAATCGGGAAATGCTTTTTGTTGTTTTAATGGTCAATTAATCAAAATTCCATGATTTTTCAATATTTGTTTATAATTTATTTTGAGTGGGTTATTGCATAATATGCTATTTTAACCTTTGTTGCAACGCATCGATCTCTCTATATATACTGCATATTCCTCACCCACATGGACCACTTTAAAAATATTGATATACAATATCGATGCCAAATAAGTGTTATTTTATATCAGAATTTAAAACCACCAGTTACATACACATAGCACTATATTGGGTTTCAAATAAACATAATATTTTCTCCTTCGCATGTACAATCAACAGCCTTTTCCTTGGAAATGGGATAGGCAGCCTACATTTGTATTTCCCATGGGACACGTGGGACATGAAAACCGTATGGTTTTCGGGGAAATGATGGTAAAACGTTTTGGTATGGACTTCGTGTTCATATATTTGAGCTTAGCTCTTTTGTTAGTTATAAAGAGCAAAATGTATTCAGCAGTAACAATATACTTCGTGAAGGGGCCGATGGACATTTGTATAATAGTTATAAATATAAAGTTAACAAAGTCCATACATTTTGTCGTTTTGCATGTCTCTTCGTACATGTAGTCCTATTTAGTAGACGCTAAGCGCTAAACTTAAATTTACCATTTTTTATTGACTGAATAAATTTCGCGACAGTCGCGTTAATATATTTTCATGGCTCTTTTCTTGCCCTGGAGTAGCGTTTTTATCTTTAAAAAGCCATTGAAAGGGAACGTGAATTCCAAAATAGATTTTCGAATAGATGCCCGATCGTGTGTTCGAGTTCTTTTTGTAGACATTATGTTCTCGATCGATTTACTAGAAAGAGCCTTTGGCTGAATTATCCTTCATTATATGTGCAGCTACCGTGCATACTTTGCATGAAGCAAAAGTGGAAATACTTCAAAAAGAACGCTGTTCTACACTACTGGGTGACAAAAAAGACTTACCAAGCAGTCACATCTGTGCAGGGTGAAAAAATTAGTATTAAACATTGGGTGATTGGTAAATTTTTCTTTTCTTATACCTACCTATTTTATAGGCATGATAATCAAATTACTGGACCTTGTCTCTGGATGATAGGAGATCCCTTGGTGTGTAATGGGTCTGTAAGGAATATGTCATCTTACACATTGATGGGGCTTACAAGCCTTAATGTATCCGGGTGCGATTCCAGCACAAACAGACCGGGTGGATTCACCGATGTTACAAAATACTACACTTGGATAAACACAACGATGAAAAACTCACCAGGTATGTTGTCAGTTGCCACTGTATCAACATTTTCTTTGTAGGATACTCCTTCTAATTCGCTATATAATAAATCTATAGATAAAATGCGATAAATCTAGACTTCCAGTCGAATAAACAAGAAACTGGCGTGATTCGGTTGCTAATTTCATAATGATTTATAATGAACATTTACCTGCATAAATACCTAGCTCGGACTTCAACGCTGGCATTCGATTCTTCAAAATGAAATCCTAGAAGAGCGTTTGGAATTCTAGATTTACCTATAGTCCCACAGTCTGTGGCCATTTAGCTCAATTTTATTTGATTCGCCTTCACACATTATTTATTAAAGATTTTCAATTTTGTAGAAAAAGTTTAATACGCCTTAAGCAAGTTTCTAAATCAAACAAGATTTTTAGGTAAAAAGTGAAATAACACAACATGTGTCAGTGCGTAACAAATCCAGGATAAATTGAAACATTGCGTTCTTTCTCAGATTCGTTTACCTGTTTTGATGCATCTACGATACTTCCGTGCGGAAGTGAAATTAATACAAATGGCACAATTGTTAGATCACCTGTAACTAGTACATCAGCATGGATTTATCCAAAAAGCACTGTAAGACTTTTCGAATAAACTTACTTTAGCGAGCAGTTTATGACTTTGAAGTGTTTTTTATTACATTCGTTCTTGTTTGGAAAATCAAATAACGACGAACGACATAAATTTTGTATGCTCATGTTGAATATCATTAGATTATAACATGATTTCTATACAGATTTGACTATATAATAAGAGAATAATTTGGCAGAATGTGTATTACTCAGCACCCCTAAAGACAGCGACGTATGTACATGAATTCCATTTGAATGTATTATGAAATTCTTTAGATCCTAAATCCAAACAAAAAGAATGTTTGCAGATTCAAATTCTTATGAATGCAGGGACGTTATTTTTATTATTTTATGAAAAAGATATCAAAAACTAATATCAATGTATGCTCACAGACCTGCTCGTGGAACATTACAGCACCTGTCGCTCATAAGATAAAATTCGAGTTTTTGTGTTTGAGCACCGAGACTGCATCAACAAGCAACGGCTGTGACGATGATTATGTTCGCATAGAAAAAGGCGAAGGAGGAAGTTAGTCACGTTATTACTTTGCAACATTGAATAGCAGGAACTCCTCTTGCTAAACAACATTAAATCATCCATTAAATGCGATTGAATGTATGATTCACATAGATTAGAGCTACAATAACATACAAAAAAAATATCAATAATAATTAGCATTGAATAGTAGGTTTCATTTGTCTTTCATTGCATCATATTGCCCGAAAATTCATCATGGGTTCAAAATTGTCAAAATTTACAGCGATTCGTCATGAGATCTCCAATTGCGCACATCAAAGTTTCAAGGGCAAGTGCTAGGGCAATATCACAGCTGTATTGTTTTTTATATTGTAGACCTAGAACAGTCTTTAATTTTATTTTATTATGCAATAATAGTAAGGAACTGGATGATACTAATATTTACATTTTATACTTGAAACTTTACAAATTAGACATCAAAAATGTTTTAGGGCGTCATTATATTTTAGAGTTATTTGGCAATGATGTAACTATTTTACATCTGGTATTCAGGACACACGTACTGTTCTTCGTTCAATTCCGTAAAGGAATATGTGACAAAAAGCAACAAAGCATCATTGATATTTCACTCGGACGATGATGATCTAACTGCACAAGGATTTACTGCAAAAGTGACATTCATTCCGCCCACTGCGCAAGGTTATAAATTTACAACGTTTAATTTAATAGCAAATGTTTTTTAAATATCAGTCCTATTATTATTTTTTAAATAGTTTGTTTAATAATTTCAAATGCCAGAACCTGCGCTATAGTCGAGATTTTTTCTTTAAGCTGTAACTTTGATTCATGTAGAATGTAAATGAATGGCTAGTCTTTTATACATGTCTAAAATGCAAACTTTCATTTTACTTCAGAACTATCAACATGCTTCAATGAAACAGCAATACATGAATGTGGAACAGTCATTACTAAAAATAATACTCTCATTAGATCACCTATTGGTGACAATACTACATGGTATTATCCATCCGGAATAGTGAGTAATTTACTCATACATTGTATCTTCAAAGAAAAGAACATTGTGGATTGTTTACAGTTATGCGATTACACATCTAGCTTCATATATTGTCTTCTTTACTAAAACAATTACACTGAATAATGAATGGAAAAAATAAAATATATTAGCTTGTAATCAGTAGTAATTAAAAGCAATAAAAAGGCCCGCACTGTCTTCACATAAAACTCACAAATGCTAAATTATTTTTTACCTATTTAAAGGATTGCGAATGGGATGTTCAAGCACCTAAAGGGCATATAATAACTTTCGAATTTCTTTGTGATTTCAACACGTACAACGAACAGAGCGATTTATGCAATAAGGACTACCTGAACATAAAGCCACTCGGATATACGACAGGTATTTATTTGCAAGTGATTATAAAAAATATCTCATGAAAATGCCCCATTTAACACCGTTTTCCGAGCATTAGGCAAACCTTGGCGAATATCTTTATCTGCTAGCGTTTATCGCCGTAAAAGTGTGTACCCTAAACCTGCTATAAGGTGGTTATGACTACAAGATGTTGACATTTCCGAAACATCTTATTAATAATTCAAAATCCAGCATTTATTTCGACAACATCCTAACCTCAACTTTTATTTCAAAGTACCTGCATTTATACTTAACATAATATATATATTTGAATGTCTATATAAATTTTGCGTTTTCCAATACAAAGTGCCACGCGCGCGTAACTTAAGGTAACACAAATGACATTTTAAAATTTTAATTCTTCAAGGTAGAACCTACTGCGGACCGCACGAAATTATTAATCCATATGAAACAAGGGGCAACAGTGCCAAAGTGAAGTTTCATTCCGAACTGAACACCAAAGAGAGCACCGGATTTGTAGTCAAGGCAATTTTTGTGAAACCGAGTGGGAAATTTGGTAAGAGTAGGATATGATTTACATATTTACCCGAGGGAGAGGAAAGCCGATAAGCCGGCATAATCATATCGCAAACCACGGCCTTTCGTGCAGTTACCATTCCATGTCGGGTATGGGATTTGTTAGTTATTTGTTTTCGAAAGCATGGACTTGATGGTGGAGGAAGCCGTAACCGAACAGCGGTTACGTGAACCACCCTACGGCGGCGAGGAGTCCAGCAATTTTCTAGCACATAACCACACCCACATGAGATTCGAACCCACGCAGAGTAATCAGAGGTGCGGTGGCGAGCGTATTCCTAACGCTTAGCACGAAGAGCCACACCGCCGCGTGCAGAGTGTTCACACTTATTATCGTACACGTAGTATAATTTAATTTTACAGTATTACAGCACGACGCCTTGTAACATATTTTAATTGTTTACTCATTTAAATGTAAATTTTCATCTCTCTATGTCTATTCAACCATATACGAGTGTTGATGGATAGATTTGAATGTCATTCTTTTCCCAGTTATCTCTCAAGATCGTTGCTATAATCAATCCGACATTCGCCAATGTGGGGAATACATCAGAGAAAACAACACTGTTATTCGATCGCCAGTCGTTGATACGAGTACCTGGCTTTATCCCCCAAATACCGTAAGTCTTTGCTTACATTTTAGTATAAATTAACTGCAAAATACGCGTATGACTTATAATAAACAAAAAAAACTGGTTGTCTCAACTTTAAACGTAATAAACAAAAATGTAATCGATATTTATTTAACACCAGATTTCCTAAATGATTCATCTCTTTTAAATAGAAATTGTCAAACAAATCGCTAATGAGGACTTTAAAATAATCCACAGCAAAGAATTTTTCCATGTATATAACATATAAGTCCTTATTTACCGAACTGTTTGATTATCCAGGACTGTTCATGGAACGTTCAAGCACCCAAGGGATGTAACATTACATTTCACTTCGAATGCTTTTTACATTTGTACAGTCGTTCTTTCTCAACATCTTGTGCTGACTACTTGTTGATAAAATCACCTAAAGTCATCAGAGGTAAGAACAGACGAACGTGTAGTTTGATGTGCTCTTCTCATACGTAAATCTCAAATCACTTTTTGCTAATTCATGATTAACACAGAATTAAATGATTTACAGGGTAGAATATCCGAAAAGAGACAATGCGTATCTCATGTGTCTATATATATAATACTGTTTTTCTCACATTTTAATCTATACAAACTTGTGAAATATATTGGACGAGAACGTTGAAAAAAGCTGTCGAATCGGACCTTTGTGAATATTGTATATCTAGCCACCTATATTTTGTGCACGGATATACTGCTTCTAGTGTAATTCGAAAACTAATGCAAACACTTTTTCGTTTCTTTAGGTCAAAAATATTGTGGAGAATTTTCTTACCAAAAGCCTTACTCTGTCCCTGGTAACACTGCTACTCTAGAATTTCATTCGGAACGGAACAGCAAGGGTGCGAGAGGATTTGTGATTCAGACAGTGTTCACGTGTGGTGGGGTCTCTTATTTCAGCAGTGTAAAATTGATTTCAACTCTGTTTCTGATCTCCCTGTATTTTACAAAATAGAAAATATCTTATTTGCTGTCTCCTATGTTTGGTAATTAAAACAGAAAAGAAGCGTGTCCAAAAGTTCACTTTGCACAACTAATTGTATTAACAGTGAAAGTAACGAAGTATCATTATATTTAATGATTTTAATTTTTTGTAGTTATTTTGATCATATATATATATACATACCGCTTGGAATTAGAATTAATTAAAAAATAGTATTTTCATGTCCTTTATACTGGTAAATGTCACCCATGGACTCTTTGTGCACAACATAAGCATGAATTCCTAATTAATATCCTGTGGCTGTATGCAACCCCCTCATAATTGTAATCGATTATTTAAATTTGAATAAAAGTGTTAATTAATTTTGACCACCTATGTAAATCTACAAACGCGATGATTTGAAATAAATTCAAAAAATAAGTAAGTTTCTCGTTACCATGTCAGCCCTCATTCCAACCAGTTTCATAAACTTATACTCATTATAAAATTAAATTCTTAGCAAACACTTTCAATAGATTTGGTTTCATATATACTCACTTCTACCAAGTTTTGTAAGTTGTTGTGTTAATTTTTTTTGTATTGCAAATTATTTTGCAACACTTGTATAACGTTTTCCGGACCCCCTGAAGTATGCGCACCAAGAAGGCGCACAACCTGAAATCAGGTTGTGTATCAGGTTAGGGTTCAGGTTATGCGACATCTTGGTGCGCATACTTCAGGAGTACTCGTTTTCCTATATGATTTAAATAGTGATTGGCAAGATTATATTCATTTCATGCTGATACCTTCAGTTTAATGTATACATCGACAAAGAATACAATATTAATCGAATCTAACAAAAAATCTTATCCAACCGTATGTTCAAACGGAATGTGACGTCACAATCACATTTCAAAGTATTGGGACGAATGTAAACAATTGGTCAGTCACAGCCGCCAAAAAGGACTAATATAAAAGCGTCATCCAGTACAGTATTCGAATAGGAGTTACAAAAACGAGAGAAGGAAAGTTTAGTTCGAAAACAACGACGCCCTCAGTTCAGAAAACACGTTTCATTAATTACCATCATTAAAAGTAAGTAAACAAACGGCCCGGATTTCAATTATTATGATTATGAGGTTTGAAAATTTTGCTCGAATTCAAGGAAGGAGTAAGGAGGTATTTGAATGCTTGCAGGGGAAAAAAGATGTACTCCTATTTACTTTCGATACATTATCACGGCTTGGCGACAATTTGTTTGGGGAAAAGCTAACAAACAAATAACCAACTAATCCCATATCCGACATGGAATGGTAACCGAACGAGATGCCGTGGTTCGCCATATGTTTAAGCCGTCTTATCGGCTTTCCTCTCTCCGGGGATGAGATGTAAATCCTATCCTACAGGACTATAATTGCATAAATGCTGAAGTAGTTCCAGCTCAATATAAACCTAGTTAAGCGATCTCGCATGTCCAATCCCACGTTCTAACCCAGGGGTCACGAACGCGTTGCCCGCGGGCACCAAGTCGCCCACGAAGACCATACGAGTTGCCCGCAGGTCTGTTCCAAACTAAGCTTGATAATGGCGCTTATAAGTAAGCTACATCAATAAAATTTTGTCCTGTTATTCTTGTATAAATCACACTTATATGGGAACTTAGAATGACACTATATTAATTATTGTAACCATCAACCTGATTTTTAGTTGACCTCGGTAATGTGACGGTTTAATTAACAATCTTCGAATTATGACATCACACTGATATCAATTTCTTGTCCGTTGGTTTGTGGAGCAGCAATAATACAATAATTGATTCCAGAGAAAAATGGCAGAAAAACGATAAAAAATCCCAACTATATTTTTACCACCATGAAAACAGCCTGCGTGTGTCTCATTGGTGGGGCGATTGTAGCGACGGCAAAGCGAAGAGATATTTTACATCTTGTCACGCAATCTACCGCGCTAACTATCCACTCACTCACTGGTCAGCGCAGTACAGTCAGAAAAAGTTCGCGATTCAAATCATACAGCAATCCTATTTTACGAGACCATTGTCTGGTTCCACCTATCTTTGTGAATCAACATTTTTGGGCTAAAGGGATAGAATGGGATTTACATATTTATTCCGAGGGAGAAGATAGTCGATAAGACGGGCTTACCCACATGACGAACCACGCAGAACGCACGCATTTTCGTCCGGTAACCATTTCATGTCGGGTTTGGGATTAGCTAGTTATCAGTTTTCGGAAGCATGGACTTGATGGCGAAGGGAGCCGTAACCAGCGGTTACCACCCAACGGCGGCGAGGAGTCCAGCATACCTCTTGCACATAACTATCCCCGCGTGGAATTCTAACCTGCGAACCTAACGTTCTTAACGCTTAGCACGATGATCCATACCGCCGCGACTCACTTCAACAGGAACAAACACGGAACACGCCTCACTGATGAAAATCTGCAAGACTCGCTCATAGTCACAGTGTCAAGTTACACGTCGGAGTACAACACTCTGCAACATTTGATAGTACAACTGTTAAGTCCATTTTTATCTTAGACTTGTGCAGAGTGTTTGTAAATAATCCAGGTACATTGTGGTTCCCTAGGATGTTATAGTAGTGATCACTTCAATTTGGAAACATTAAGTTTTGAAATGGAAGTGTTATTAATAGAAATTTATTTGATACTTGCTATAATCGTTTGATTTCCTGAGGAAGCCTAAAGTTTATCAGTGTCTCTACTTGACTAAATACCAGTAATTATCAATATTTGAAGCTTAATCGAGCAAACTGACTTTTTTGAAGTGTAAATTGAACTGGTAGCCCGCAGCTTGATCTGTACCCAGAAAGTAGCTCTCGACCTCGAAAAGGTTGGTGACCACTGTTCTAACCATACCCGATGTCTCCCTGTCCTATTGCACCCGTTAACCATCCCTGAAATCCACACGCCAAACTTCACCCATTTGATCCTTGAGCCCGCAATGTTCAATTCCATTTGGTAAGCAAGGGGCTCCCAAAGGTGCGCCACAACGAGTTGTCGAGTGCGTCGCGAAAATTAACAGAATTGTGTTAAACATAACTAAAATATGATTGAATATTATATATATTGTATTTACTATAAATGTTGTATGGTTCCTAATTTATATGCTGTGTATAAGAATCAATAACTTCATTTTGACTTCACTTGCTGTACGTAGTGTCTGCCTCTATTGTTACGTAAGATAGACATTGGTTGCTGCAATTTTTTGGTCTGAGCTACCATGTACGTTGCAGTGATGGCCATTGTCCATCCGCAGGATTCGAACCTGCGAACCCACGCAGAGTAATTAGAGGTGCGGTGGCGAGCGTATTCCTAACGCCTAGCCCGTTGAGCCATACCGCCGCGCACCACCTCACTTTCTTTTTTCGTAAAGAATGCAATGTAAGGGGTTTTCCCTCTATTTAGAATGAACGCGTATTCGGTTATGACGACTCGTTGTGCAACCAATTTCTCTATTTAACTACTAACTAGTTACCTACCTATGTATGTAATGGCCATGGTACAACAATGGCCCAAAACAAGTTTTAATAGGAATGATAGCTCAAATATCAGGATAGCCTATATCGTTCGTAGACGGCTGATTTTTCTAATCGTACGGTAATAATGCCCGCACCACTGTCAGACTGTACCGGTACTAGTGTACTACCGGTCTACCGGTACATCTCGCCTCTCGGTAGGTACCGGTACCGTACCGTAGGTACCTAATCGAGTTGTCCGCCTACCCTACCAACAGCAACATGTCTTTGTGTTATCATAATATTGTTAAATCGTTAATGCAGTAGTGCAGCGGTTCCCAAACTATGGGTCGCAAGAGGAATCTCAGTGGGTCGTGAAAAGATGTAGAAAGCTTTGATCAATTATACCGGTACTGGTTATTAGGATCGGTGGCAAAGCAAATTTAAAAGCAAATTTCAAAATAAACTGCAACTTTTCAATTTTTTATGTCTAAAACTATCTGAAATTGAAATAAATGTCAAGTCTATTATGGAAAATAGCAAGAAACAATCTCATCTTTCTCACTAGCTTCACTGAAAATTCAATTTGAGAAATTAAATTTGTTTCCTCCATTAATGTTTTATTAATTTATTAAAGTTAAATGGGTCGCCATAAGCTGTGGTAAAAAATAGTGGGTCCCAACGCTAAAAAGTTTGGGAACCACTGCAGTATTGTGTTGAATGGACAAAATAACATAACTCTGAGCTGTGGCTAAGAGTTATAAATGAAAGTACCGGTAACGTACATCCGTAGTTTGTTATTCTGAGTGGTTTGATCATCACAACACTCTGACACTACAGCACTAGCTGTCAAATTGACTTTGAATTACGGGATTGACATCATTCCTAAAGTTTTAAAGGCTGTTGTTGATTTAGAATGATTGCCGGCGCGACCATCCGCAAACTTTGGAGGGCGGTATTACGTCACTGCGACTTTGCAGTGATGTAATTTTTGGACGACTTAGTCAGAAGGGGGTTAGGAATGACATATGCAAAAATTGCTGAGCCAGGCTAACTAGAAGTACGTGTGGCGTGTACTTCAAGAGACCCGAAACGAACCCTTAATAAGACACTTTTTATAAGTTTTTTTTTTAATTTTTCATGCATTTATTTTCCTGAAAGATATACTTTTTTACCAGTTGAAAGAATTAAATTTACTATGGCTGACATGTCAGAACTGTGGATACTAACTAACTAAACTTTAGCCCAAGAATTTCATTCCAGATACTGGTACCTAATTTTCAGAATTAAAGATTGTATGGGCATAATTGTTCGGCTGAGAACTTTGTGTACAGGATTGATAAAGTGTTTCTGCAGTGTTCACCTATATCAACAACTGTCACAAGGAAAAAGCAAAATGGCTGGACGATTTCGGAGTTATGTTTGGGATCCGATGTTAATTATCTCACAGATGATCGCTCTGCAATGCATATTTTATTTAACTTTGGGACTTATCACTGCAGGATTTTTGGCAATGGCTGGCTACTATCCATCATTGAGATATATTTTTGACTGGCAATCGGTGCACTTTCGTTCAAGAGAAAATCAAATTGTAATGGTCACTCATATATTGAACTCATTATGTGGTGCAATAACTCTGTGGTTTATTATTCAAAGGGCGAAACAATGTTTAGACTTTACATGCACACTTCATTTGTATCATTTAATTATTTGTTGGGTTTATACGAGTCATTTTCCAGCAAGCCTCTCATGGTGGCTCATACAGATAGTCTGTATAGTTTTGATGGTTGTTATCGGTGAGTACCTTTGCTTCCGATCAGCAATGAAAGATATTCCAGTAATGGGTTCAAGGACTGAAGTATGATACGAAAAAAATATTTCTAGAGGAGTAAATATTTGCACTAGAATACACTGCACAACATGATGTTATGCATAAGCAAAATGGGCTATGTATTTTATGGCGATTGACAACTTTTCAATATGATAACCTGAACAGTGTTATTATTCATATCTTGTGAATGCAATGGCTTAATAATATCACTTTCTTAGGTGATTCCAGGGCGATATCTCTTTGTATTTCATTGATATTTCAGCCAAACTTTTTAGTTTTAAACAATAGTGGGCTTTTTGTTCAATTACTACTCAAAAGTTATATATTTAAGAAGTTCCAAAGTAACAGAAATATCAGTATTGTGCTTGTAAGGTCCAAAATTTTACGTCTATTCAGGAGTTTAAAAATAGGGATTGTTTTCGACTAGAATTTGATATAATTGCCACAAAATAAATCTTGTTAGGTAATCAATTTCATCTATTCTCTAACTAATATTTAAAGAGCTTAAATATTACATGATGGGTATTTAATTCATATACACATCTGATTTTGTTGACTTGTTCAAATTGCTTTATATTGTATTTTCAGGAAGAGCTCTGTAATATGCCAAGCCTAATTATAAATGTAGGAGGGCATTGGATATAACAGGCATTTCAGTTCATTTTTTAATTCTTAGCATAGGCAAAGTCAAACAAACACCATTCAACTTTGGGTTCCTGTATTTACTTTATTAAACCAACAATTGTTGCCTCAATGCAATATGCTTGGAATTTTACAACCACAATTTATAATATTGCTGCCTTCATGCATAACCCATTGTTTTAGATGTTGATTTTCTAATCTATGTCTAATAACTCATAATCAACATTTGATATTCTTAAATGAAATATTTTTCATTAGGATAGGCTTCATATATTGTCAATATCATTTTAGATTTGTCTGGTTTATTGAATTTCAATTATCAATTCGGAATATGGATGAGCTAAATAAAAAAATCATGCACTGCCTATCAAGTCTTCTTTATTCATTAAATGAGGTATTTTCCATTACCCTCTCAATTATGGGACAATTTGAATATTTGCTTTTCATCATAACAATCCAGTTTCTTACTCTATGCTGAAAATTAATGGCTTTGTCTGATAAGGATCGAGTTGAACGAAGGGGATTTTGAATATGATCTGATATACAATTGCTACATTATTGCATGACAGTGTGTTCTTGTTAATGTGTAACACTGCTGATTATTTACAATTGTATTATTAGATTGTGTGCCAAAATGAGAACTTTTATTCAGATGTAATACTCACAAATTCTTTTTCAAATCTCTGAGAGAAATTGGTTTAATAAATGCGATTTCAACTCAGATATTACCCCTATGGTGACACATGGCACCATCAGTTTAGAATTCTTACAAATTCATTCCGATTTTGCTTTTAGAATATATCAGAATATGTCTTTTTAGAATTATAGTAATAGTTTCAGTGAATGTTTCTATGTTAGATTGGTAGCGCATATATAGACATAGATGTTTCACAATCCTCCAAACTAATATTTTAGTTGACTCTTTGCCCATTTTTTAGTCCTGCCCTTTGTGCTTGTTGTCAACTGTGACTTGAAACCTTTCTTTTTGGATGAATTTTTTTATTTATTTATGATAGTTTAGTTAAATATTAAAGTTATGGGAGTAAAAGGATTATGGAAACTGTTGGATGGAACAGGAAGACCTCTAAATTTGGAATCACTAGAGGGAAAGATACTAGCCATTGGTATATGTTTTTATATACTAATTCTCTTTCAAAATAAAATAAAATGGAGTATTGCTCTTGGCTTTGGAAGTACAATGTAAAAAAAATGTAAAATAATAAAATTGGACAGACCAGTATATTTTATTGAAAAAACAAAAAATTTTACTTACCGTAGTTTTCCGACATTTTTGTAAACACCTAATTTGAGCTTTTTTCAAAATTGGTATTTCTTATGCTCAGTAGTTTTCCTTTCATCTTGTGTTTTAACAACTCATGCTTTAAACACTGTAATTTGAAAAAAAAGGTAAGTTAAACAAACATTTTAATTGACTATTTAATGCAGGATATCTGAAATAGAAATTAGATATAGAAGAGCTAATTGTATTTATAATATTGCCATATTCATTATTCCTATTCAGCTCTTGAATTTTCTAATTAACTGATTAGCTTCAATACTGCCATATACTAATATATGTACTGCTCTACAATTCTAGATTACATGCGGTGGATATGGGATACCATTCATAGAAGCATAATCTAATGAGACTTCTGGTATTAAATTTTGATAGGGCCTATTGATTTAGATGATTAATTTTTCTGTTATTTGTTATTATTTTTACAGATATTAGCGTTTGGTTGAACATGGCCATCAAAGGAATGAGGGATTACCAAGGACATGCGAGTGCAACTGCTCATCTAACAACATTGTTCAACAGGTACAATAGGGGGTGGGCTTGACTGCCTACACCAGGCTTGGCGGTTGGCAATAAGTAGCACTTTGCATGCCATTGCACAACTGATTATAATGCACAGGTTTGAATTCTATGGGAGATAGCTACACGCAAGAAGATTGCTGGAGTCGTCACCCCCAATATGGCTTCCACCCTCATCATGTCCATGAATAGGGACAGTTAACTAGACATGAGGCCGTAGTACGTAATATGATAGTCATTCTTTTGGCTTCACCTCAGAGATAAATCTAAATATCCTATTCTGTTCTATTTGTTGTTGTACGAGGCATGAAGGTTATTTATTATTATAATCACACATCTTGTTCCAGAATTTGTAAGCTGTTGTATTATGGAGTCAAACCAGTGTTTGTATTTGATGGGCAAGCACCAATGTTGAAACAAAATACACTTCGTGAGAGAAGAGAAAGAAAAACCTTCCATGCAAATGAAAGCAAAAAAGCCAGTGCCAAAATTTTACAAACATACCTCAAAAGACAAATTTTGCAGGAGGCTACTGGAGTGAGGTATGCTGTCTGATATTCATAATAGTTATTCATACAAAATACATTGGTTATGATTTCTGACTTTTGTTGGGATTGATCAGCTTTGAAAGGAACTTCATATTTTTTCAGTTATGTAGTACAGCAAGTCACAGATAAAGTGAAATAAAAGAAAATTATAGGGTTCATGTACTCTCAATTTTTATTACATGTTTGTTTCTGTATACATGTTTTAAATAACTGTTTCAGCGCTGAGCAAAATGGTGATGGTGGCACAAAAAGTTCAGATGAACCATCGTCTTCTTCCAAACAAAGCAAAGGTGTGAAAAAGGAATAATCTGGCTCTTTCAAAAAAGTTTGTACTTACATAGTGGGATTTAATTTAAAACAATTCCGGGGGGTACTCATCGAGGATGTTCGGAGAGCTTTTTTCTGTAGCTCTGAGATTAGGAAAAAAATTATAGTCTTATATACAAAGCGGGAAACAATCGTTGGCGCTCCAGAAGTGTGTGTACCAATATGGAGGTAACTAATTTTGTTCGCCTACTTTACATCAAGTCATGTAAAGGGACTGAAACCTATGGGCAGGAGTATATTCACTTGGCTAACACAGGCAGTTTCCAAACTCGTAATAGAACTAAAATAAGGAAAATCGGAATAAAAGTATGGCCTAACATGGTACACACACTAATGGAGCGAGGTTCATACCACATTACACCCAAAGTTAATGTTGAAATTACATTCTCACTGTTCATTTTTGTTATTCAAGCAATCTAAGTTCTCTCAAATTAGGAATGATTTGTCTTCATCCTGGTAATATTGTTATGCAATAATGATGAAAAATCAACTGGAAGCAAATTTTTTTAATGTTGATCACAATGATCATAAAACATTCAGTTTATCTTCCAAATCCTTTAGATGAGAAGAAACAAGAGATAGATATCTTTGATCTTCCCCCACTTGCAAGTCAACTCAATGACAGTGATCAAGAAGAATTAGAAGATGAACTCAAAATGAGAACTGAGTTACAGAATGAATATATTGATGAATCTGTAAGTTAATTTAAAGTTTGTAATAATACAACTGTATCATATATTTAAATTAAGATACGATCAGGTAAATATAATCAAACAGAAAAGGTAGAGACTAAGAGAGAATCAAGAATGCTATGTTGTGTGATTGGCCTAAACATGAATGTGGATATGAACTAACAAAACAGCCAATCAAAACGTTGAGTACTTGACGCGTTACAAAGTCGCAACCTATTACCTATTAAAAAGTTATGTATCACTATTTTGCAGGAAACTTGTGAGAAAGATCATTTTATCCTATTAAAACTGAATCAATATTATAAGATTGATTGTATTGACTTGGACTGATTCAATTTTCGGGTCTATTCAAAATTTTCTGGCTCACCTATGTAGAATTTGGGATTTGAGTGTTCGCCTATAACTTCGCTCAAAGATGAATTTTCTATTCTTTTAAGTGCAAGTAACCTTGCTTTAAGCATATTGTCTTAGAGGAAAATCAAGCAATTGTGCTGAGTTCAAACTTCTCAAATCTTGTATATTGCACAGTGATTATTGAATGTATTTCTATACTTGTCATAATAGTCATATTTACCAAATATTCTTTTTCTTAATTACTTCATCATATTAGGGTCATGTCGATATTGAAGGGGTTCTTAAAATGAATATAGATTCTGAAGATTTTAATTCACTTCCATCCGATGTGCAATATGAGTTGTTGAAAGATTTAAAAGAAATTAGAAAACGGAGAAGAACAAGAATAGAGGCAATGCCTGAAGAATCAAATTCTTTTTCTGATTATCAGATAGCAGGTACTTCATCTTCTATTCAGTGCAGGATTTCCAGACCCATTTATCTCTTAGAAAATTTCAAAAGTAATATTTACTCCATTGTGTATGTGACTGTTTAATTATAATTTATATATAATTAAGTTCAGGTTCAAACACCAGAACTCCTGATTTAGTCTAAAGAACAAGTTTTATATATAATTTGCACTTGATTGGCACATTATGTGTATTGTAAAATCAAACCTGTCGCCTATTTCGATATAGCAGCCCAATAAATCTCTTTCAGAGAAGAACCTTAAAATGGCAACTAGGCTATTATATTATGTGAATCTTTTTTATTAGCTGGATTATGTGAGACATAGTTTTCTTTTAAATGAATCAGCTAGACAAATACTTCTTTATTCGTGTTTGACGAAGCATTGCCAATTTTTCTATTCTTTGAGTCTATTTTACTTAAACAAAAGAGTTTCCCCACCAAAATATGGAAAAACACTAGCCCCAAATCTTTTCTTTCTTCAATTTACCGAATATCTTGTAAATAGAATGTTTTCCACAATCCGCTCTAGTCCAAATCAATTATTTAAATTTCTTTGTTTTAAATTTCGTTCGTAAAGGTCTACTCGCAAAGCGGAAAATCAGCAAAAAAATTGAACATGTTGAAAATAAAATGTCTGAAGAAAATTTAGCTGCATCATCTTTGCATGCTGGATTTACAGATGAAATGCTGAAGGATCATGACATCGATGCTCGACAACTTGTATCTGATTCCTCTACTCATTTTATATGGATGAGAAAATCTATTAAGGTACTTGTGTTTTCTTTTTCATCAAACATTTTATATATGATCTGACGAATTCAGTACAGGTTATCTTGCATCTAACTTACAAATTTTATTCTGTAACATTTCGTCTGACCAAAATCACACTTTCTCGAACAAGCACTTTACAACAATAATTTACAGTTATAATTGTTGTTACAGTATTCTTGTAGTAAATTCATACAGATCCACTAACTAACCCATAGACAGGAGTAGTTTTTAAAACAAATACTGTAAATTGATTCATTACTTGGCATCATATATCATCTTATATGCAAATAAACAAATCTTGATTTGAATTGGCAAACTGTTATTTGAATTATTCAGTCTTTTTAGTGTAACCTCGTCATGAGTTTTTATTTAAACTTCATTTATTAAATCGAAGGCACCCATTTATTATCAATGGCTTTTTATTATCGACTAGACTTTGAAAGTGGTAACATTTGTACTGCAATTGTTTGCCAAAATTTATCGAGACAGTTCGGAATAGCACTTATTTTTAATATTTTTAGAATAAATCTTGGTTAGTTTTATGAAAACAACTAATACTACTCCATGTTTACCCAATCCTCTTTTATTAGAAATCAAACCCAAATGATGAAAGCGAAGTATCAGCGAACAAAATTCTACCTTCAATTCAAGAAGAACAAATATCAGAAGAAGTTGTTAAGACAGATGAATCCCGATCTGAGCTTAAAAAGGATAATCTGAAAACACAAGAACTTACAGAACAAGATATGAAATTGACCATTACAAAGGATCAAGAATCCACTGATATGGATATTGTAGAATCAAACTTAACTGATCAAAACAATGGACTGAAAATTGTACAAAATCAATCTTCATTGACAGAGCAAAATATAAATATACAAAATGTTGAATCACAGATTGTAAAACTAAATAGTGAACTAAATTCATCACCGACAGAAATTTCGAGTGTGTCTCATTCCGTTGTCTCGTGTGATAATACGTTGAACTCTAATAGCACTCAAGAAAATACTTTATTAAAAACACAGTTGCCAGAATTTTCTAACATTCATACAGCAGAGAAGCATATTGAGATTAAAGAAAGAAAAGATGTAGAGGATATAAATTTACGGACTGGTTTTGAATTGCAACAACATAAAGATGATGTTGTTGAAAACCCGACTGATTCCTGTGTTCTTGAAAAGAAATCAAATCATAGTAATGTTACCATAAAGCCATCTCCATTGCCAGCATCATTTTCTGAATCAATTCCTGAAGAAATTACTGTCAAAAAAGCTGAAAATGTTGAAGAAAGTTCGGATGATGACTTTATTGATATTCCTGAGCAAGAAGGAAAAATTAAACCGGCAACTGATAATATTTCCAGCACTGTTGAACAATCTGATTCGTTAAAAGATCCTGTATCTGTTGTATCCCAAGTCAATGACTCACCGGACAAGTCTGAAGAGAGGTATGTGTGGTATTTTCTGGTATTTCTATTATTATTATAAGATATGTATCATACATAAATTTTCAGCTGACCAGCATTGAGAATGAGAAAGTCTTTGATCTTGTGACATGATTACAGCGCTACATACTATTCTAGTGGTGTATATACATCGGAAGACCATGTTTTTATTGCACTGATTCTCTTTATCGCACTGGTATCTAGTAGTAGGCTCATACCTGTTCTAATGCATATGCAAAGCAATCAACATGTGTCTCTGTCTTTCTATTCAGTATGTTTGTGGAAAGCAATCCTTGGGAAGGTCTAAATGCAGATAACATTGAAGCTTTTAGTGGGCAACTCGATGCTGAAAGCAAAGAACTGAAAAAATTAATGCAAGCAAAAGAAAGAGCAGCTCGTGATTTGAGTCAATCTGCACAGTTAGAATGTCAAGAACTTTTGCAATTATTTGGTCTTCCTTACATATTGAGTCCACAGGTAAGCTATAATACCTTCAGATTTCCAAATTGTGCTTTCTTTCTTACTTAATTAATTATAAGATTGTAGTTTAATTCATCATTCATTGTGGTTGGTTGTCCAGAAGCTTGGTATATCGAAGGACATGTTCAGAAGCTTTGCTTGGCTCCGGTTGAAATGCTGATAATTAGATCATGAGCAAAACAGAGTAATACAAACTTGGTGGTTTGAAGTGTTTTACCTAAAAGTATTTATATCATTTGAAAATTTTCTAATCATTCCCAACTTTTGTTTTAGGAAGCTGAAGCTCAATGTGCCACACTTGAACTGCTTGGGTTGACGAATGGTACAATAACAGAAGATTCTGATATTTGGTTATTCGGTGGAAAATATGTCATTAAAGATATGTTCGGAAGCAAACGAGATCCTGTTGTTTTTAATGCAAACGATATAGAAATGCAACTTGGTCTAAACAGAGATCGATTTATTTGTATTGCTTTGTGTTCTGGCAGTGATTATACAACAGGTTTGTTGTTTGTTTTTTATTCTGACCTAGAAATTCAAGGATGTGAGTGAGGTGTTTGTGAAACTTGTTTTGTATAACAATGTGGGTCAGTGTATCTCGTTTAGATTATTAGGTATTATGTGATTGCTAGTTGATATTTTCACCAATTATATCTATCAATCAGATGTGGAGTCCAATATTTAAAATTCTCTGGCATTCAGAGCTGGAGTAAAGTAAAATTTCCTCGGACATGGAGTTTCATTTCTGATCCAAATTAAAAATGTTGTTCAACCCCAAGTCGGGAAACGGAGTTGATTGTAAAGTTTTTCAACTTCGCAACCCTGATGTCTATGCACGTAAATCATTACATTGCATCAAGTAGCTGTAACTATGAAATATTTGAGAGGATATTCAGATTTTTTATTTCGAATATTCTCCATTTTTCTAACAATCCTGCATTGTTCATTCAGGCATTCATGGTGTGGGTCCAGTCACAGCGCTGGAAATTCTGAAGGAGTTTGAAGGGGAAGACATTCAAGGATTGGTTCATTTGAAAAAGTGGTGGGATGAGACTTGTCAACGAGTAAGTTCTCTCTTTGTGTTAGTAAAAACAACAGAAATCCCTGCCACAAGTATGTTAAATTTGGCATCAATCATTGCTGATTTATTTTAAAGTCTTTGTGAAAAGTTGTTGCACGGCGGCGGCAAGGGACTAAATTAAAATGTTGATTGAAAAATGCAGAGCAATTATATTGTCAATTGTCGTCAATTGCTGTTCTTTTCAATTGTAGCAAAGTTCTGTCATGAAATGTAGATTTTTTATCTATGTACTAACCACTGCATCGATGGTCTAATGGTTTGTTCCCGTCTTTCTGTGTGCCCTGTTTTATTTAAATGTTATTGAGTGGTCTGAGCACATTGCGGGTCTGCGATAATCTGGAGGCTTTGGGGCCAACAATCTTTAGGCAGTTGCATCCAACAACTTCATATATTTCATGAATTAGCTAAAAAAATCTTATTCCCAACAGGAAATTAGTCTATCCATCAAATGTTTAACGAACGTTTCTGACTGACTGGTTCACAAGCTGACTCATTATGTGCTTTATATATTACAGGTAACACAAGTGCTTCCCACAGAAACCAAGATAAAGAGTCAGTTGCGCAGGATCAATTTGAACAAAAATTTTCCATCAGAAGCAGTTTATAAGGCATATACACAACCAATTGTTGATGATGCTAGCACTAAATTTGAATGGGGGTTTCCAGATTTGGATGAGCTTCGTAGTTTTGCTGTCAACACAATGGGATGGACACGGTATGGTAGTAATGACTTGTTATCTCTTTGCCGCTGATTGTTCTAATATTAATTAGCAAATTTTTTTAAGACTCAAGGCAGATGAAACTTTGCTTCCTTTGATGAAGAAATTGGGGCAGCGCCGATCAGCTCAATTAAAAGTTACACAATTTTTTACCCCTGTATCCAATCCAACTACAAACAAAGCGAAAAGCAAGAGAGTACGAAGAGCAGTTGCATGTCTCAAAGGCAATGCTGAAATTGCTCAAGAAAGTTCAAGAAGTAAAAAAAAGGCTCGAATGACCAAGGGAAAGAAAAACCTGCTGTTAAAGAGGAGAAATTAAATTTGTCTGAATCTTCATCTGACAGTGAATAAAGTAACCTGAAAATGAAGCAATCTTTACTTTTGCACGAACTGTATGCTTTTACATTCGACGTAAATTTCAATCATACATGTTGCAGGTTTGACGTTCAAATACAACACAAATGAACCCTATAAACGTTGTCATATAGTAAACTATAAGTTTCTGTTTCTCACCATGCAATAGGAATATGCTTGCCATCGCACCTCTGATTACGTTGCATGGGTTTGTATGTCCGAATCATATGGGGATGATTATCTGCGAGAGGATTGCTGGACTAGTCTGTTACCGTACTGTTCCTTCGTCATCCTGAATCCACTCGTTAACTAATTCCTTACCCGACATGAACTGCCAACCGGACGAGGGGCCGTGGTAGGCACGTCTTGTATTTAAATAGTGTTACCGACTTTCCTTGGAAGGAATGTGAAAATCCTAAACCAAAATCTAGGCCAGGGTGGTCCAAACCCAGGCTCACTGGCCACATGTGGCCCGCCGCTTCATTATCTGTGGCCCGCGTCACATTCGGAGAGTAATCAAAAAATCGCATTTCGTGTTGTTTCGTAATAAAATTAATCGGAAAAATCTTTTGACATATTGTTACATCACTAATGTCACTGAATTAAATAGTGTTATGAATAGCTGAGGCAACTAGCTTGAATAATGTGCTTGACAGTCTAAATTATTATCTGGCTTTCCATCTTTTTGGTCGGGAATATATGCTAACAATATAGGCATCATAGAAAACTAAAAATCGAATATGGATTCTATTAGCCATGGATGGCTATGTCTGATAACTGTGTTTGCACAATAAAAGTGTTTGTTTTGTATTGCACTGTTTACCTATTCTTGGCACTATTGTGGCCCGCGAACAATGCAAAAATGAATTTGTGGCCCGCGGAGCCCACAACTTTGGACCATCATGATCTAGGCTTTTTTATAACCCGTTGCCAAGTGCCAGAAATTAGGCTATATGATTCAACATCACGAAGCAAATGACCAAATCATTATGCATGCAAGTGTGCGTGCAGGCGAAACCTCGAAAACGCTGAAAAATTTTCCTTAGTCGCATGGCGAATCGGGCGTTCCCGTGTGTTTAATCTGTGGCTATGAAATAGCGCAGACAGTTGACAAAGCCACAGGTGTCGCACCTGAGCAGATATATTTCGAATCTATCCTCACGCCCGATGTTGTTTCCCGATCCTAGATAATACCTTTATTTCAGCATGCAAGAATCATAAACATCTTCAAGATAAAGCGGTTTACATCATGATACCAGATTCCAGTTGACTGATAATCGAGAAGGACCCAAACTGGTTATCATAAGTCTGCGACAAAATAGAAATAAGTCGGAAGTAAAATATAGACTCAAAAGTGATCTTAAACTTTCTGAAAATATAACAATGAAGTATGAACAGTTCCTGGAATATTGGAAAAATATCTTTCGATATAATTTAAAAATAAAAAATCTAAATAGAAAATAAAACTGTCGAGTACAAAAAATTGAGACACGCATTTTTTGGAATATTAAATAAATCAAGATTACACTCATGAAAAGATATGATAAAATACTTTCGCCTAAGATCATTCGTGTGCTTGAATTTGCCACATGATAAAACCATGCAAGGTTCGCCCAACAATAATCGAACACACCCGAGTTACTGCAACATTCTGATGTGCTTTTCTACGATTATGAAGAACTTATATCAAACGATTCTCTATTTTTCATTAAATTGTCTGATGGAATTAGCCAATTCTTTAGAGAAAGATTGTACGAATGATAATGTATAATCTTAGCGTTTATATTTGTTGGCTAACTTTAGGTAGGAATTGCGAGTGCAAAAGTTTGAGGTGATCTTTAAATTTCAGATACAATGTCTAAAATAATTGAGTGACGAAACTAGGACAACATATTAGATAGATTTTACTTCGATTCATTTGCAAAAATAGAACAATAGGCCTAAAGTTAATTCGAAGAATCTGAGAAGTGAACGAACTCTAAAAATAAAAGTAAAACTTCCACACACGAAGAAGAAAGAAAATTACAACATGGTGGTTTAGTATTCAGGCGTTTCAATTTGTGATCAGATTGCGTGTCATTTACTCACTTACAAAACAGTTAACTAAAAGCCGCTGTGCGCGTGATAAGTCAAGGCGGTGTGTATACGAACGAGAAAATTATTTATAAATTAAAATATGCAAGCATTTAACGCCGTTTCGTGCTTAAATATCACAAAACTATGGGCGATTATCGACATATCCAATAAAAATGCCCACACAAAAATGTGTATACCCAGCCCACTGAAGTGACCCAGCCCCATTTAGAAGAGTTGTCCAAGCTTAATTTCGAACAACCTTATCTTCTGGCTTGCATGCAGTCATTTGGTTAAAATATCATATATTTTTGCATCCCCATTGTGCTTTTCTAGTTCTGCGGTCAAAAATTCGCTAATTCTGTAATCCGTTGTTTGTTTTCAATCACGGAAGCCGCGATTTCTTCTTGTACACGAACGAATCTTCAGCTCGCATCAATCGTGTCCGCATCGAAACGCAGTTCCTTAGATAGGTCCATTCACTGTCAAAAAGAGTTTATATCGTGAGGCTTTGCTATACTATTGGATTTGGAGGTTGCGGCAAAGTTATTTTTTATTATTAATATTTGTTCATGGCTTGAGTAAACATGGGTCAGTGACGGTTTCCTCCAGCACTATTTCCACTATTCTGCTATTGGTACGGTGCCGTGGTTTATGATTATCTGATTAGCAGGCAGGGGTTTTCGTCACGTGATTGAGTCGTCTTTCCTTGGTAATAAATATAAAAAAATGAATTGTCGTAACCAAATTTTGAGTCTAACATTTTGGACAGAACAATTGACTTTCGTTGTCAAAGTTTAAAGAAAGGGTAAGTGGAGGTGCGCTGGTAAGCGGCACAAAATGTCTGAGGACCTAAAGTGTAATTAGTTCTGATGGGCATCAGTACCGTAACGGCCGAATTGATGGATTGGTTTACTGTTCTTTAATGCTCATACTAGTTCACTTTCCCGGTTCCAAACAGAAACAGGTTCCACAATACAGTAATATTACTGTATTAATTAGCAAATATGTTTACCTAATTGTTTTTAAAATGTGTTTGATATATTTGAGTTCAAGTGACGAATAGTTGGACGAATACTTTACTTCTCTTTTTCAGCTCAGCATTCAAATGCTAATAAATCTTGAGCCCAATTTTGTATAACCTTGTATAAAGCCTTCTTGTGGTATTTCAAATAGATACTTGCACTTGCAGACTTGTATTGCTGTATTCAGGTATTGTAGGGCTTGAGAAATTAATTATTCGAATACATTTCAATTCTCTATACGATATGCTTCCAGGCTGTCCATCCAGGCTAAAAGATCAAAAATAGGGATCCCTGTCATGCAGGTTTTAGTAATCTGTTGATGTGCAGGAACTACTGAACTAATGAGTCTTGTTAGCAGTGTTCACCTGTTTCTATTCATTAGCGATTACCATATAAAAATCCACATTTAACAATTTTAAATATTCATCTAGTGATGTATGTTTCTCGTGAATGTCAGAATGTTGTTCTTTTGAGTATATTTAACTAGACCTACTTATTGGCTAAGATTTATGTCATTTTTATGTTATGCTTTTAAAATGTTTGCTTATTAAACAGGTATCAACAAATTGGTTCTCATGTAGTTTTGTACTTTCGTACCTACTTCTAGAGGGCGTAGCATAACAATTTTTTGTCAATCCTAACCCCCACCTGACGCCATCCAAAAATTACGTCACTACGACATCACAGTGACGTAATAGAGCCTTTCAAACTATACGAACTGCCAACCAAGACAAGCACCAGAAAACGAACAGCTATTTCTCTCGTTTTCTCATTGCAACGATCCCAATAGGAGAGAAATCAATGACGTCAGTCAGTCTTTTATCGTTGGCGCTGATGCCATTTTGGGCGAACGTACGTATGTTCGACAAGCTCTATGACGTGATTGTGACATTGTAATGACATAATTTTTGGATGGCTTAGTCAGATGGGGGTTAGGATTGACATATCAAAAAATTATTGTGCTACGCCCACTAGAAGTAAGTTAGGTACGATACTACACGAGACCCAACAAATTGACTTGGAATATTTACTAGAAATCTGGAAATGCACTCATGCCAGTAATCACATTAGTACAAACAAGCGAAATTAAAATTTCTACTTTTAATCTTTAAGGTCTTCGATGTAGTTTTTTGTAGTTGTATATGTTTTGGCACTGAGTGCATTAAGGCAACATTAAACACATGCATTATGAGTGCTCCAAATGAAGATATGGTAATTGCATTATATGACTATCAGGCAAAAGATCAAGAAGAACTGAGCATTAGAAAAAATGAACAACTCACCCTTCTGGATAACACTGGACCCTGGTACAAGGTGGGGCTTGGCATTTTTGCATTTGTGTAAAATGGGCACATTGTATCCATTTGTTTGTTCTCGATAACATTTGCATTCACGATCATTGACTGAAAGCACCAAAAAGCATTGTGTTGTTGATGTGATTGGTTATTATTTTGTAAAACAGGGTTGAAGACATCAATCTTATTATAATCACTGACCAACTAATATGTTGAGTTGCGATATTTCTTTATCGCTTAGCTATATGCTAATATTAAATTTTACAGCAATCTTTCGATTATTCGCTATGTGAAATATGAAATATCTAATTCACCGCTATACCTGTTGGGCATGATCCGAGTCCACATTCAAAAATTGCGATGTATGTAATGTAGTTCTAAAAAGTGTTCCATTGCTTGTCCTGACTGAGTTTTTTATTTCACTTTTCAGGTCCGTAATAAGATGATGACTGTTGGACTAGTACCATCAAACTATGTAAAATGCAAAGGAGAATCTTTCGTCAATAGAATAGGTACATTTTTTTTTGACTTTTCATTGTTCATTGTCAAACATATTCTGTCTCCCAGTTGTGTCAAGTTTATTAATTATAATCAAAAACAATTAAATAGCTTTTAAATGCGTCCATTCCATAGAAACCTGCAATTTGACTAATACTGTTAATATTATATTAGAATATATGTATTGAAATATCATAAGCCAGCATTTTTTGTATTGCTTATGTGA